ACTTTTACAAATACTCGTACTTCCCCGTAACCATAGTCCAATGGAACGCCCTTCCGTTAGGAGCTTGCAGCAGTCCATCACTTGACACCTTCAAGAAGGCAATCAGTGATACGCCCTTCCGTTAGGAGCTTGCAGCAGTCCATCACTTGACACCTTCAAGAAGGCAATCAGTGATACTCCCTTTGTTAGGCCATAGACTATATCAGCTTGTTTTTAACTTCACCCTCCCCCGTCCCCTTCACCCCTTTCCCCTGTCATCATAGTTCACTTACCCGAATACACTATTTCTGGCTCTGTATGGGAAAGAGTTCCTAAAGGTGGCCAGAGTTGATGTGACCAACACCGAATCAGAACTCTTTCCAAATACAGCTCAGTTTGAGTGTATGTTACTACATATAAGGTAAACAATCTTCAAACTATTATTATCACCCCCCCCTCCCTCACACCCTGACTCAAAGTCCATAATAGATCCGCTATTTTGTACAACAGGAGCTATCAACATCCGTAGAGGTTCCATAAAATATTCCCTTGTATGGGCAGTAGCTATAGCAGGTCTAAACTTATAGACATTTCTTAGCACCAAATACTCTCTCATCACATTTTTCTTTCTTTCCTCTCCCTCTGCCTTATGCATGCACCAGTCTGCAATTTATCATTTCTATCTCTGTCACCACACAATACCTTTCAACATGCACAGACGCGCACGCTGGACATAATACTCGAAAGAGGGTGATGCAGAATATATAGATAGATAGATAGCNTATTTCTCAAGAAGTACCAAAGGGATCTTTCTCAAAATCTTGGTCCTAAGCTGTGCATGGAAACTTTTGAGGCTGATCAGATAAACATGGCCGACAGGCAGCCATCTTTGATTTTGATAGTGAAATTGATTGATTGATTGATTGATTGCTAGGTTTTACGTCCGCTTCACTACCGCGTGTTTCGGTTATCCAGCAGACGAAGAACAGAAAGGAAAATGAGTAGAAGGGATAAAGTATGGAGTAAAAGAGTAGAGGAGGGGGATAGGTTAGAGAAGGGGCCGTCTATCCTAAATATATAAACTGTATAAGTCTAGTTTTTGTAAGACGGCACCTATGCCTAATAATGCCTTAACCTAACATTCATCGTACAGCATCACCAAGTCAGGACCGGAAGTGAGGTACTGTGCCGCCTCCAGCCACACCAGCCCCTTCCTATAGTATGAATTTGGCTTGTATATAAAATTTGGAAGTCCATCTAATGTCTTAATAAAGAGACCCTAGTTCGAACGGCCTAAAATTTTGGATAAAATTTTCACTATCCTCTGTGTCGGCGTTTACGCGCCTACTCTTTTTCGAAAAACCCAGAGGGATTTTTTCATTGCGAGAATGGACAGTTCTCACACGGGTCACCATTTATAGCACCATCCGACGGACTGTATATAAGTGGTTAGTGTCCTGCATGTGCTGTTTTTTTGTTGTCCGTTCCATGTACTCCTCTCCTCATCATTTGTCACTGAGAAACCTGACTATACTTGTACCAATGTCATCTTTCTTATAAACTTCGACTTGTCTTTCACTTATTTCTGCTCATCGTTCCGACATTTATGATTTTTAGTAAATAGTGTAATTATTAGTATGGGTAAAAGGGGGAGAAGGGGGAGGGTGTGTGGAGGGGGGGGGGGGGGGGGTAGTGTTATAGTTGGGTTATAACCTGGAGGGGGGCTGGAGGGGATGGAGGGTGAAAGATGTGCTGGGTGTGATGAAATGTGCAGAAGGATTTATGGGTTTTATTAATTGCTGGTAGTCTGGACCGGAGTGGTGTTGGGGATGGTTTGTGGGATGAGGGATGGGTTGGTTTGTTGGTTGTGTGAGGATATTTTAGTGGTTGTTGTGTTTACTTTTACATGTATTTAATCATGTATACACTTAAATATAGTGTTTTACTCTATTCTCTATTAGACATAATGTTGCTGTGGGGTGGCAGACTCGTCCTTTTTATAAACGGAACTACCCGCACGTGGTCAGAACACATACGTTGCAGCTTTCTTACATCAACCGGAAGTAAAATGTTTTAGGTGTTTTTGAATTTAATAAATGTTTATTAGTTTTTGTAAGATTAACTTAATTTGTTTATTATTTTGAGTGATTGGATATTGTTGTTATTACACTATTCGCTGTGTTAGATAAACAGATATTGATTATTAGTTCATTATTCGTTTATCCCGTTATTCCTACCTAATTAGTAGGTCCATATAGCACCATTGGCCTCCCTCATTTACCCGCGCTAACCTTGTAGGGTTTGACGCCGAATGAGCGAGAGGACCTATTTTACGGGTCGTATTATACAGTTTATAATGGTAATACAGTTCCATCCTATTTCATATCCACCGAAGTCTAAAAACGGCGTACCGCTTCAGATTGTACATCGCCCACGGTGTACATATATATGTATCCATTTGTAGGTCCTCATGTATACATATATATGAGCGGCTAGACATAAGATTGATGTGGGGTGTCAGACCCGTCCTTAAACGAATCTACCCGCACGTGGTCAGAACACATACGTTGCAGCTTTCCTATATCAGTCGGGGATTGGTTTGTTATGTGGTTATTTTTCTATTATGTATCCTTTATTTCAACTTAACTTTTTACCCTGCTTCCATCCCTTGTTTTATTAAAAGTGACTTTCCCACCTGCAGGATGTATGAGATATATATTGCTATAAACGATTTTCGCTAGGTCACTTTAGAGTTATTTCCCTTATTTCTTGGGCGTCAGGGGAGTATTATATTGTTTGTAGGTTTATTGAATACGTGATTTGGTATTTTTATGTTATGAGAATCTGGTACCTTAAGTTCTTAATGGATATAGCATATTAAAGGATTTTTTTCATTCTTGGATTTTCATGAAAGAACTACTAAGGACTGATAAAAATATATTTTGAGATATATTTCATGTATATATAAAAAAAAATGGACATCTTTACAGGAGTACTTTCCCCTTGACCAATTTGTCGTGAATTGATCTTATTTTCGTTTCTTCTTTTTGTTTGTTACAGTGCCAAAAAAACATGATCTATTGTTTCATTATCTATGGTGGCATATTTCTGCCATCCACTTGCGACTTACGAGTTACGTATGTCGACATAATTATTGAAAGATGTCGACATAATCTGAGAATATGTCGACATAACTTTTAAATTATGTCGACATATTATCACATTTGCCGAGATAATTTTGCCGAGATAATTATCTCGTAAGTGGGTAACTCGGCTTTTTATCGTGTTAATGCTCGGGTGTGACATCGACTTACGACTTGCCACTTACGACTTATTTATGTAAAATCCCTCTTTGATTGATAAACTCTGTACATCATAGTAACCTACTGTAATATCCATATCTTTGATTTCCCATATTTACATTGATTTTACCAAGTTACTCACCAGTATAGTCACCACTGTTCAGTCACCATCAGCCCACCTTCGCGGTCCTCGTGCACAAGCCTCGTTTTGGTAAGTCGGCAATAATCTACTAGGATGTCGACATAAATAAGTCGTAAGTGGCAAGTCGTAAGTGGCAAGTCGATGTCACACCCGAGCATTAACACGATAAAAAGCCGAGTTACCCACTTACGAGATAATTATCTCGGCAAAATTATCTCGGCAAATGTGATAATATGTCGACATAATTTAACAGTTATGTCGACATCTTCTCAGATTATGTCGACATATTCTCAGATTATGTCGACATCTTTCAATAATTATGTCGACATACGTAACTCGTAAGTCGCAAGTGGATGGCAGAAATATGCCACCATAATTATCTTTACAATTGGGACAGTTTGGAGATATATCTTTTATTCTTTTAACAAGGGTTGAAGAATTAAAAATATAATCTTTTATTCTGTTTTACATATTACAAATATTGTCATGTCATATGTAATTTAAATGTGCTGAAGCATTGTATTAAATGCTGTGGAAATATTTTTCCCAAAATTATTTTGGCCACCACTATGTCATTTGGGCCAGTGCTATACATTTTTTACTCGCCCCAAAAAATAACATTTTGGGCCAGCCAATGCAGGTTCCCCACTATCCTTTATTGTTCATGTTTACTTTTGAAACTGATCAGCTAAACAAAATGGCCTACCGACAGCCATCTTCGATTATTTACATTGAAGGTTTGTTAGTACTATTTCTCAGGAATAATTTGAGGGATCTTTCTCAAATTTGATTTATAGGTTCCCCTTGATCCTTCGTTGTGCGTGTTATATTTTGAGACTGATCATATAAACAAAATGGCTAAAGGAATAACTAAACAGATCTTTCTCATATTGCAATGATCGATTCTATTTCTTTCACATTAAGCACTTTACTAGTAAATATGTGAAATGACAAAACTCACTTTGAAGGTTGGCTTTCATACACATCAGTTTTAAGTTTAGATCAAAAATTACCTCAAGGTGCATTTACTGTTAACATGACTCGATTAAACAGATTAGAGGAAAGAAGAGAAAAGAACAACTGACAAAGAACTAATGAAAATTGTACAATGGAAGGCGCCAAGATCCCTCTTAGATCTCTTGTTAATGATGTCATTTAAAATGTTATCAATGAAACTCAGTGACTATATACATGTATCATCTATTTGTGTAAACAGCCAATGAATGTCCTGGATTAAATCATGTGATATGTTAATGAGTAACACGCTTTTAATATCTATTTTAGAAAATATTCTTAACGACAGCTTTAACAGATATCATATTACATTTTTGTAAAAAAAAAGTGGATGTTTTCAGCAAATCAACGCATTCAGTTTAAATCATTACAGATTTGCAAAATAGAAAAAAAACTAATGTTAATCATAATACAGATTCTGTTACATGTACAAATTAATAATATGTATTATTCAGGAAAATATTTTTTTAAAGGGGAGTAGATGAATACCTAATACTACTTTTGTTATAATAACATTATCAAGAGGCTGTTCTGATTATACAAACATATGTTCGTTGTTGAAGGCCCCTGAAAGACCGTATCAGGGACATTCTTGTCCGCATTTTCGACAGTGCTACATATACCCCCTTCGGATTTGACGATTTCTTTGACGCAGCAGATACGCTCATTGGCCCATGTGTCAACCATCTGCATGTTTTCTACTCCCTGTACGATCAGCACTACCGACTGTTTCTGGACACTAGGTAACCATGCAATAATATTTTCACCGAAAGGACGAAGTTGTTTGCGTTCTTATTATAACTTGCTAGCTTTCCAGTGTTATTTTCTAAATTGCACGATACAGGTAGTTACTTTCTGTTGGTAGACATTGAATAATTTGCTTTTGGTATGCAAGTCATTATCAGACTATTGATTTTCTTGTGTGTTGTTATCTGATAATAATTACATTTTCGTTGTATAGCCTTTAAGATTAACCTGCTAGCTGTAAAAGAATAACATTTAACTTTTTTCCGCTCAAAAAGTATTTGGTTCTTTCCGTTATACTGTTAAAGTAATCAGGGACCATGCATGTTAAGATCTTAAATTCGAACTGCCAGATAAAATCTGTAATGGTTTTCAATTGACTTTGTTTTTTCCTGATGGTGATTGTAACAGAAATGGAACCTGGCCAAAGGCAGCTTATTTTAAATGGATCATGATCCATACAAAACAACACAGAAATAAAAACTGAAACTTTTTTTTTCTTCTGAAAATTAGGTTTGAATATTGTTTTGTTTTTTTAAACAAACGAGGTTTGAACATATTCCAACTTTTATGATGATATAAAGCACTTCTTTGCAGACTTTCTCCAAGAAATGGTACAGTGCATCATGGAATATGTTTTTAAGCAACCTGGTTTCAAACCATCATTAATGTTGATATCACTTTTACAAGGTTGAAGCAGTTACTTGACATTGAAATTTTGTAAGTAGTAAGCTGATTTACATTTTCTCCGGGTACTCTGTTTTTTTTCTACACTAAGACCCCCCACGCGCTAACATTCGGGCTAACAAGAGTGATATTTATCAGTTGAAATAACTTGTTTAATAATTGTTGTAAAAATATATAAAGTTTATATTTTATGTTATGTAGGCACCAGACCCTGTCAGAGGTTATTCAACAGATCATAGGCAAGGCTTACGATGAACAGGTCATACTATGTAAGAATGGAGATATTGTGGGAACAAAAATGCAGAATACCCCAATCTGCCGGTACTCGCATACCTCCAGAGCCGACCCACTTATCCTTATGTCAACAAATATAGAGGAAATTTATATTGAAGGCCTTGATGGCGTCATTGACAGTAAGTCTACACATTTCTTTTCCCCATCATATACCTGAGATATTAAATGTTAGCCATTCCTTCTTTATCATCTGTCTAATGGTACATTTTATTTAGCAGTTGATGATCAAAGGTCCAGGTCACTAGATTACTTATATATTTAAAAATATCACTTTCTTCATACATTCTGTACTGAATGGAATATCAACGCTCTTTATGTGCTTACTTATGAAGCTGGCATCCGATAGAAATATTTTCATATTTTACTAATTGATACCTCATCCAGTGCTTGTCAGCTTGTAGAGAAGCATAGCTTCAATAGTTAAGATCGAAGGTCAAGACCACCAGGTTACCATGTAGAGTTTATAGTTTGTTTTCAAAGTGGTGGGAATGCTGTTAACCTATCTAGTGTAGTGGCTAATTAGATAGAATAGTGATACCAAGTGCTTTATGTGAAGTTATAAGTTGGTTCATTTAAAGGAACAACCAAGTATCAGTATTCTTATTCTAAAGATTCGCTAATGCGAAGAAAAAATATTTATGTTATGTTTTAGAGCCCTGTGCTGCGTTTCCCGCTGTGGTCGATACTGACCATGCTTATAAGCTGGCCAAGAGCATGTGTGAGGATATTCATCTGTCCAGGAAGAAGGTGCACACAGCGGTGCTCTCACAGAAACTCTTCACCAGGATCATTGCTAGGCATGGGTCAGTATATTTTACATTCTCCACAACAATATATTGCTCCTTACTATGTACTGTACACTATGGGATGCTGGTGAAGCATGACACGTTTCTTTAAAAAGTGTGATGTCACTGACACGTGACATGTTTCCCTTATGCTATGGCCTGCCACTAACATGTAACCTACGGTCCGGATGTTGTAGGGTATCATTGACATGTGACGTGTGACCCTGATCATATGGCATGCCACTAACATGTGACCTACAGTCCTTATTCTGTGTGATGTCACTGACACGTGACCTGTGACCCTGATCATATGGCATGCCACTGACATGTGACCTACAGTCCTGTTTCTGTGAGGTGTCGCTGACATGCGGCCTATGTTGTGTGGTGCATTTAATATGTAATCAAATTTTATTGATACTCTGATGTTGTAAATATGTTACCCTTCTTATTTTCAGTTCAATGTTGGATCTGAAGATTCGTCAGCACCGACGAGATTTTGACTTGCTCAGGAAGAGATTTGACGATGTGACGATGAAAATAAATGCACAACGCATTGCAAATGAATTTCAAGTCTTCTGTTATACCAACGTGAGTACTAAAGCCAGTTTGATATTGGTTTCTGACTGTTTTTGTGACATCATTTATTTCTGTTTGAAAATAGGTTTGATTCTACAAACTGTATTTTAAACAATCTAATTATATTTCTAAGCATCCAATTTAGCAAGGGTTGTGTGTTCATAAAACTGTCTGCATATATCATCAAACAGTCATGGAAAACACAACCTCTATCAAAGACATACTTACCAAAACATTGTACCATCATAAATCAACCACTGTTAAACAAATTATGAAAATATTGTTCTAGACAACAAACAACTGCTTACTGTAAAATATTCATGGGGAAGGAGAAACAGTATGGCCAAGAGGTAGCAAGATAAATATAAAACATACCATAAGTGAGCTATTAAGGAAAAAACTTGGAACGAAAACAAAGGTTATAGGAAAATAAAACAGCAGCCAAGAAGGCACCAAAACGACAACAAGAACCCCATAAAACAAAACCCCATTGACAAAAAGACCTGTACCCCTCGAACACCCGTCAAGATGTTCTGTTTTCATCAGAAATTGGTCAAAGAGGAAACAAACAACATCATTGTACTAAAACAATTGCACAACCCGAATCCGAAAACGAATCTATTTCAAAACCTTGCAATGTGTGTTTATAAAGCAAATGAAATCAGAAATGAAGTATTATTAAATTATAATTACATTAAACATATTTCACGGTTGCCTGCGCATATATTGTAGTAACACTTTCTAAATGCTGTTGTTACCCTGATCGAGGAAAACGACTGATGTAAAAGAGTACTCAGTGCCTTGATTTCAAGTTCAGGAGAGTATATATAATGGAGTCAGTAAATTTCCATTTGATCGAGTGGAGATAAAAAAAAAACACCACAAAAAGACAATACACTTATGTTGTCAAGTGGAGGAACAAAGGCAAGAAGACAACAAACCATTGTGGCTTTTGGAGTAGACAAAAAACAAAACGGCAATAAATCGAATAATAGAAAGTGTGTCGTTGATGACGCAGAGCTCTCATTTATACCATTTGAATCCATTGTAAACGTTTAGGAGTGGTGTAAAAATGGTAAGAAAGCTTAAATGAACAAATTAGCTGCTTGTGTGTAGTGATAAAAGTAAATATGTAAGTTTAGTATGGTGCCTACCTGTTTATCCTGATTGGAATCTGAAACATATAAGTTAAATCCCTGTGCGTCTTCCCTTAGATCCGAAACAAGCTTCACACGTGTGGTAAGAGTCTGAAGAATGTCGGTGATGAGTACGACGCTGCTATGGAGGCCTGGAACATCTCGGACAGCGCTGTCCGACAAAACCAGAGCTGGTCAGTATCATAACCATTATTACTCATAATCTATCCATTTATTATGACAGTAATGTTGGCAAAATAAATTTGCGACTTTCAAATCCAATACTGTCACAATACCATGATGTTATTTTACGTTGGGATGCCGTTTCAGTTTGCGTAGTACCATTTTGATGTTTACCGATCAATGTAACGATTCTGCAAATTTTTAGTTGACATAATCTATTACCCATAAGTTAATTACTTTCCTATGAACCTAGTGTAAAATGATCATTGCATACCCCCCCCCCNAGAAGGTGAGGTGCGGGTCAGGACAGGTCATGAGTGATGGAATTGTCTTCCTTAATCTCTGGTGTTTCTATTGATGTATATGTACATTGATCAGGTTTTGTTTGTTTACATGACATGGAAGACAGTCAGAATCATTGTATTGTAATGAACCATAAAGAACAATTTACTTATTAATATCAATTAAATCTGGAATATAAACAAGCACGTTAACATACATTTTTGTTTTCTTGTTTCTTCAGAAATAGCATGAATTATAATAACTGTTTAAATCTTGCCCTATTCTGTCAGGAAGGGAAAGGCAGACCAAATTGTAGAACTGAGCAAGGCGCAGCTCCAAAAGTTAGGGAATTACAGACGGAAGGACAACCAGATGACGCTCAACGAAGAGAAAATGTTTGCTTTAGACAGGTACGATTGCTGTTTAATAACCCATGTTTTGTCTTTATGTGAAGAAATAAAATACGGATTAAACCTTTGAGGATACTCGAGAGGATGTGTGAAATTATAAAGTACTAGTGTAAAGGGCTAAGATGTGGTTAATTCTTATCTGTAACACTTGTTCTAGGGAGGCTATGGAGGATCTCAACAAGGAAGCTCTTCTTGAGGACTTTTGGCAAAGTCACGCAAAAACACGTCTGAAGTTCATCGAATGGTACAGGTTTGTTTTGAAACCGCAGATCACTTAAACGGTGTGATTAAAGTTTTGCAGCACAAAATGATAGGATGCATGTCCCATTCTCACTTATCAGTTATGCAAATTATGAAATGATGCACCTGTTTAAAAGCTTGTTAATAAATGTAGAAAGCCAAACAAAGTAAATGTTATCTACACAAATGCCATTTTCGTAGCCATAGGACTATACAATGGTACTAAAGGTCACATATTCATATGAAAAATCCATATCAAAAGTGTTCCGAATCATATATAGAATAAAGCGGAAAGGGAAAGGTGGTTACAAAAAAACGTAATAACGTTTATTTATTTACAACTTTCGCTAGCACTGAACAATAATACCTAATCAGGTATTTCATGTAAACGTTGACAAAGTAAGTTTAAGCCAACCTCAGGGAGCAGAGTCAAATAACTTGTTGCATAAAATATAGCCTCGAACAACGATGAAAGGAAAGTATAGGACAAGAAATGCATTTAGTACAAGGTGTTTACAGACAGAATAAAGACTAGTGTATCAGGATAACAATTTAACAGTTACAAAAATATACGAGCATATGAACGTTTTACTTTTACAATTGCAGACGTTACACAGGATTTTCACAGAGTGTCAAAGATCTTGGAAGATATTTAGAAGATTTGCAGTCGTCGAATTGGAATCTTGTGGACAATGTGAACTTGATTTCCCCCCGGACCCTTGCTCCTGTGCCCATGGCCCTGTTACCTGGATTCTGTACCTCGTATCCAATACTGACCAAATCACCCATTAATCTACCATGAAAGACCCTTGGAAAACACAATTATTAATTATGGCCCCTTTTTAATATCCAATAGTTGGGCATTAAATCAAGTTAATGGCCTATAATTTGAAGGTTCACAAATAAATGGGTTAATACAATAGCCATAAAAAGTTGAAAAGAGTAATGGCCATGAATTTCACTTGCCTTTAATCGGTGACCCAATTTAATGGCCATCACACATTTTGGAACCAGTAATGGCCATGAATCAAAATCATTTTAATGGTACTTTACTTCCACAGCAGAAAACTACCAATGACCATTAATTTGTTTAAAACATGGCCATTACATATACCTTCCATTAATTATGGCCCCTTTTAATGACCATTGTTTGCTTGTGAAAATACTCATGGCCACTAAACTTTCAAACATAACCATTAATTATGGCCATTAATGTCAGGTGGTGATAGTGAAATAATGGCCATTCAATAAATGGCACATTCTAAACCCATGGTACCTGCCATTCATCATGTAGTATTTAATTGCCATAACTTGCAAATTAAACATACTGTGCATTGAGTAAGGAATAATGGCCATTAAATAGTGGCAGATGTATCGTATTATATATTAATAATCAATTGCAGTCATAAGAAAAACCATAGTGATATTGTGTTCTGTAAATAAAAAGCAAGTAGACAGGTATCTATCCACAATTACCATAAATATGTCCTTGCAAATTTGTTCTTGCATTATTAAGGTTGATGTTTAACATGTTCTCCAGACCCCAAAATCTGTAGAAGACTCTGCCCTTGACTGATGGAGTCAAAAATGTGACATCAAGATTCTAATACAATATTTAATCTATTTGATTAAGATGACATGTTGTAAAATTGTGATCAAATATGTACCTGAAAATTTAGACCACTTCAATTTACAAGTCACAACAGCTAAACTTTGAACAAATTTATTTAAAACTCCCTAAACATTAAATCATTACATATAAACTAACTGTAGTGTAATATACATTCATAAAGATTGTGCACCACTCCGGACAAGTATCTCATTATTAATTATATTAATTATGACATTTCTTTCAAAGTAAGAAAATTGCCGCATGTTTTTTTACGCATTCAAATTTGAAATAAACAATTTTATCACATACCTGTTGAATCTTGTTATAGTAATACAAGCAATTTTCAGACCATGAAATACAACGTTCTGTATTGCGCATGTGCAATACGGAATGTTGTATTTACCTACTAGCCGGAACTACTTTTTATGCCGAACTGAAAAGTTCCCTGTATTTGCAAAAAATATCAAAGTTTATAAAATCTTTTTATCGATCTCTACCGAATGGGGAAGCTATGTGATAAAAGCAAGACCACACACTTGCGTTTTTCTAACGAATCAGAAAGCACTCATTTATTGCGCGGACGTATATATTTACTCGTGCGTAAATTCTATTCTTCCACATGGTTTTGTGCAGTTCCGCACTACCAGAATATTTGCTAAGGGGTCCATTTTCTTCACGTCCCAGTACAGGGATCCCCGGTCCCATTACATGACGACAAATGAATACTTTCCTCCATCAGCATCTGTATCATCTGATGTTAATTTTGACACCAGAGTTGCTACCTTCGTCATGATCGGTTCTTCCTCATTTCGATCAGATTGTGATCTTCTCTTTTTTGATGGTTATTTATATTTTGTCATCTCTCTTCACCAACTCCAGTTCTAGACTCGTCCTGCTTGCCATCATCAGTTTTTTCATCCACCGATTTAGATCTTTTTTTTACTTGCACAAATACAGAAAGGCTCTTCTGTACCTGGATGCTACCACTACTATTGCTTCTAGAAGTGTCGTCATTATCAGTCTCTTCCTCTAGATCTGGCATTTGCAATTGAATTTTTTTCTTCTTTCCTTGAGGAACTCTGGGTGGAGTTTGCTGCTTGGAATTCCTTTTTTTTTTTGAAAATTAGTTCTTACGGTTATCACCTGTTTTAGTCCTACATTTTTGAAAGAAGTGTTACCATCGGGAGCTACCTCTGTCCATGTCCGTGTCTAGGTCTTCTGTTTTAGATTTTAGAATAACCTCAGAATACATATCATTCTTCCTTGCCATAAATAACACTTTCCCCATCACAAACGCATCTTTCTTTATCCAAAGTTATCCAACAGTATAGGGTTTTCCGGATCGTTTTGCAAGATATCAACTGGTGGTTCAACTGGCCGTCTTTTGCCGCTTTCTTTATCTTTAAGGTATTTCCTTCGATTCTGTAGGTGCTCTCCTAACCTCTTCAATAACTCCAGATGTTTTTTCCTGAGCACCGGTGCATGTTGGTCACAAACCTGCAAACACATTGTGTTTTTTTCTGTTCACTAATGTTCTCCAAAATAGGGGCTCTCTTCCAAACTCTTGCCGATTTTGCAGTATCTTTGATCAATGCATTGAAGTACTTCTGAGCCTTGTTACATTTTCCTCGTGGTGTTTTACTCGTCAGAACCACGTACCTTTAAAGATGTTGTTTGCACTACTTGAGAAGAATCGGAACATCAGTACTGCCTTACATCCAATACTGCTTTACACCATGTGACCTTGTAAGGAAAGCTGTATGCCCCTGATCAAGATCCTCTGTTTTACAACTATAAGTATGCTCCTATCCTTCGCCAGGATGTCTCCCGAATTAGCTGTCAACGATATTTCTGTCTCTCTTAGGAATTAGAAACTAGCGTGCGATTAACAGGAAGTAGTAAGGTGAGTTGAAATCATTTTAATTATGCTCTGGTTAATAATTTGTTTAATCCAAATATATTTTGTCCAGAAAAAAATACATACACGACAGTGAATTAACGTTTTTGGAGAACTTCAAGTTGTTGCGTTTTGATATAATGAAGCAAAGCTACGATGCTCTGATTATAAACCGTCAGCCTTTTCGTTTTAAACTGAGAAATAGAAAACCGACCTTTAGAGTATAACAAGTAGTCTGTACCCTGGGAATAGATATGTTAAGGTCAAGTCCTCGGCAGCCATTGACTCTGTAGACTACCCGTGTTGGGTTGATATTTCTTGTCACAACCTCCAGGTAGTAGGGAAATATAAATAACCAGCCCTCAAGGAATAGACAACTGACACGGACTGTACCTCAAAAATCTTATTTCACCGCCAGGTGTCGCAATATTTAGTTCCTATTATGACGACCAGCCGCTGATGCTAAACGGTATTTATGTTTTTACTGGATTCATTTTCGTTGAAATCCATCGACACAAAAAAAATATGCAGAAATCATTAACGCAAAATACAGCTCCCAATGGTAGACTGTGGTATTAACACAAACCCTGCTCCTGAGTTTGCCAGTATATCCGCCCATTTGTCAGCGTCGAACCGTGAAGCAGTGAACTTGGGCCCGAAGTCCCACCAGAACCATTCTGACCGGAACGCCGGTACGGAGAACACGCCCCAGTGGATAAACACTCCCACCTTGGTACCATCATACCAGAGGGGGAGGGGTCGAGTGTCTAGAGAGTCCCAGTCCGGGGTGTAGCGTGCCCCGCCCACACATCCACCCAACAGGACTACCAGCATCACCAATGCGTGTTTCCTTACTTTTACGTATACCATGCTGAATAATTTTTACAACAATAACAATGATGAAATCTACAGAATAGATAAAGGACGTGTGGTAATGTTCAGGAAAGGTCAAGGGTTAAAAGTGGGTAGTCCTCTAGATAAGCTGATGGGTAGACCAGGCATAACAATTGTGTTACCATGATGATTAAAAACGTATTGCAATATAACTCGTAATGAACTATTCCAACCTTTGAATCGGGGTGAATGAGTTAAAATTTGTAATAAGTCATAACTAAAGTTGTCATATGAACGTGACCGGCCAATACTATATATGGCATTTATCAGTTCCATATCTTTCGTACATATTTTTGGTCCAAAACTGATCAATCATTGCCAGCTGTGACATACCTGGATACGAAATTCTAGAATAATGGTTACAATACGAATTTTTTTAAGAGCATTATAACTATTATACAAACATTACTTATCCAGTTATTGTCACGGTTGGCGTTGGCAATGGTTTATTAGTTTGGAACCAACCAAACTATATAAAAAGAGGGATAAGGTTACCCTGATAGTACTTTATATCATAACATTTAAAATCAGCATTACTTATCCAGTTATTGTTATATGAGACCACACTTCCATCTTAGACCCCTTTTCACTAGCTGTTTGAGTTGGGATGACCCTTTCCGCCATTTTGGAGCACAGAGACATTGTTTTCTTCTTTTATACCTAACGTTAGCTTGCTGGTATATCGTACGCTATGTTTGTAGATTTTTTCCGTGATTTTATTTATATTTTTGTTTCAATTAACTTAGTACGCAATCCCTCGATTTAAAGACGAATTTTTTCAACTTAAATACTAGATAAAAAAAATGGTTAATTTTAATCCCGAAAAAACCCAGATGTATTGTTTATTTCGAATTCAATTGATATCGAGGAAGACGTAGATTTAGAAATTGATGGGAAAGTCTTTAACTTTACAGATTATCATAAACAGTAAGGGGTAACTTTTAATTCGAATGCAAAAAGGGATGAGCATCTAAATGGGATTTACACTTCTGTCATGAAAACAATTGATGTCTTACGGAAACTGAATCGCTTATCAAGTAGGGATGCTTTTTTAATAATATACAAGACTTTTATTTTACCTGTTTTAGAATATGCTTGTGAGTTGTGGGACGGTTGCACTATTTTTGAATCGGAAAAGTTGTAAAAAGTCCAGATTGAAGCTGTTTGCATTATATTAGGACTTCCCGCATGTACCCCTATTAATACTTTATATTACGAAACTGGTCTTGAAACTTTATCTAATCGCAGAAAACGGAGAAAACTTCAACTACTGTATAAGATGCATGATAAATTAACTCATGATTACTTCAATAATCTTTTGCCGGCTTTATCTGGAGGAAATAATCGTTACGCTTTGCGTAACAATAATAACTACATTGTATAGTATTCCTCCTTTCAGGCTGTCTCTTACTAGCTCTTCTTTTCTGCCTTCTACTCTTCATTGTTGGAATAACTTAGAAAATTCGGTTCAATCCCTGCCCTCTATAAATTCATTCAAATCCTGTTTAACATCAAATATCAGTCAAGTCCACCTATTTACTTTGGAAATCGTAAGCTCAATATTTTGCATACTAAGCCCCGACACCAGTGCAATTCCCTTGATTACAAGTATGACCTTTTTAGAGTTAGCCTTGTTGGGAGCGCAACTTGTAATTGTGGTCATCCCTGTGAGAATGTCTTCCACTATTTTATGGAATGTCACCTTTTCACAAACGAAAGACGTATTCTGGTTCAAAATTTAAATAATTTGAATGTTGCGTTAAATTTAGAAAAACTTTTGTTTTGCAATACACAATTTTCCGTGAACCTTTACTCAAACTTTTTTTAGATGTGTGCAAAAAACTTTATCAAATCTAGGAGGGATTTTGAGTTCAAATTGTAATAACAATTGTATACATTTATTGACAAAATGTATACTGGGAGAAGGCGTTGATAAGTTGTTATAACTTATGCCTAATTCCTTGTCTACTTTTGGCAATAAATATATTTAAACTAACCACACGTGAAAAGGTGTCTCCTACCGGTTCCATTTTTAACGTTGAAAACTGACCGCGGTTCCATTGTCCACGGTGGTTCATTTCCAACGTTACACATCGGCCAACGTATATGGTTTATCGGATATGGTTAAACGTCACAATGTTATATCGGATATGGTTTAACGTCACCATGTTATATCGGTTATGGTTTAACGTCACCATGATTTATCGGATATGGTTTAACGTCACCATGTTATATCGGATATGGTTTAACGTCACCATGTTATATCGGTTATGGTTTAACGTCACCATGTTCTATTGGATATGGTTTAACGTCACCATGTTATATCGGTTAAGGTTTAACGTCACCATGTTATATCGGTTATGGTTTAACGTCACCATTTTATATCGGTTATGGTTTAACGTCACCATGATTTATCGGATATGGTTTAACGTCCCCATGTTATATCGGATATGGTTTAACGTCACCATGTTATATCGGTTATGGTTTAACGTCACCATGTTTTATCGGAT